CTGTTCGCCTGGCAGGGTTGGCGCAATGCCTCCGGCAGAGAGCTCCGCAACAGCTACAAGAGATATGTGGAGCTTGCCAACTTAGCTGCAAAGAGCAATGGTAAGTGCTTGAAAATAAAGCACTTTTTGTATGAGGATCTCTTGCAACACGGGACAGCTGGAGGAAGATAATATCTTTTGGTGAATTCAGTTTTCAGGCTACATTTTACAAATTTTTTCCAAGTGGCAATAAACAATGACTCACATTAAGAATAGTTCATGAGAGCTTTGAATGAAGCTCTAATGTTGTTCGGTTGTCCAATATCAGGTCACACGGATAATGGGGCATTCTGGCGTTCCCTGTATGAGACCCCCACCTTTGAAGAGGATCTAGAGGCCTTGTGGAAAGATCTAGAGCCGCTCTACCTCAACATTCATGCCTATGTGCGCAGGGCACTGTACAAGAAATATGGACCAGAACACATCAACCTTAAAGGACCAATTCCAGCTCATCTGCTCGGTGAGAGATGAAATATACATACTGTAATAAAATGATGCTTTGGTTAGTAAATGTCTAAACAAAAAATACATGTAACATGTTATCTAGACTCACAGATTTCATAATTTAAAAACTGGCTTCTTTTTACTTCATTTGAATTTAAATTTGAATAGGACTCAATCAACACAGAATATCAGTCAATGGAGGAATTTTGTTAGCTGCAGGTTTTATCCCAAACTTGTGTTTTGTGACAAAATCAACACCATCTCACAGGAAAATGTACTGTAACTATTTTACGAGATGGCATTTTCATTTTAATTAATCGGAAATTATAATTTTGACACAAAAAGTAAGCATGAAGGTCCACCCCTAAACATAACTATCACTGGGGAGTAAGCAGATCATATGAAAATGTGTGAACAGGTCACCAATTTGCCAAAACGTATTGTAAAATAACTATGAACTGCCATAAGATTGTATTGGACAAAACGTAAATAATTACTCTTTTGACTAATTATGCCTATTTATTCCGAATCTATATTCCGAACTATTAATGTCTAACTTATTAAAATCGAACTAATTATATATTTTTGCATTCTGGGTGTGGTGTTGTTCCACCATTATCCACTACTGTATAAGAATAGAATAGAATAGAATAGAATAGAATAGAATGCAGGGCTCCAGACTAACATTTGACAGCAGTAGCACCGGTGTCACTAAGTTCTAAAGATGGTGGTACTAGCACCTGTTTTGGTAGCACTGGTGGGATTTTTAATTTTTTTAACCATAAAGACATTTTAATCACTAAATTACTACATGTGTAAATCACTGAAATGCAGATCAAATGAACTTTTAACAACAGTATTGAGCAAAAACCTAATTTTTATATGTAAAATTTTAAATATTCTACTCTATAGTATCACACTGAACTGACCGACAGCTTCAGTGATTATAAAAGGAGTGCTCTTTACTTGCTTTCTGTGTAATTCAGTCACAATTTGAAGAACTTTTTGATTTTCATGAGACTTTGTGAACTTCATACTTCAGTACAAAAAAGTGTCAAGCTTTGACAAAAAATTATTTCTTGATGATTTGATATTAATTGAATCCATGCAATGTGTTGTGATCAATATTAGATCTGCACTTCGAAATTTCCACTGGAAATAGTAAACCATCCGGGAACCTTTTGGATACTCATTACTCAAATCATGCTATGATTTGGGACACACAAATTCTAATTTTAAATACTATTTAGGATGGATAGTATGTGAATTGAGCCACAGCAACTGGATTTATGGAGAAAGTTTATGGAGAAAATTTTTACCATAATATTGTGGTTGTGTACACACATTATGTTCAAAAACAATGTCAAAGTGAATTTTGCATAATAGGTCCCCTGTAAACTGAGAGCAGCCTAATAAACCTGCTGCTGTCTGTGTCATTAAAGTCAATCAAACAACAAAGAAAAGGAGAAAATCACTCACTGCTTTTGACTGAATAACTTCAGTAGCTTTAATAAAAAAAAAATATTTAATTCATACAACGAAGACTAGTGTGCACCATTTTATTTCTACATTTGATTATTCAGCAGTACTACAAACCTGTATCTACACTTAAAATATTGCTTTTTGTTTTCATTTTATTTTATCTTGTAATTTTTAAAAAAAAACTCAGATTCTGGTTTAAAGCTTCTGGAATGCTGGCTGTGATGTCATAGGTGTGCATCATTTCAATAATCTCAGTTTAATAAAACAACAATATCTGAACAGCTGTTCTAAGAATGATCCTCTGTGAAGGTATGTGTGTGTGTATGTGTGTTAGAGATGTGCAATATGGACAAAATAATCACATTTCTATTCTTTTAGTGGATATTGTGATTTTGGTCATTGTTTTCTCTTGTTCACCCATTACCTTCAAATTTGTTTCTCAGTGTATAAGGCCATTTTCAGAATAAAATATAACAGAATGAACTACTTGATAAATGAAATAGTCAGGTCTCTAGAACATATGAGATACAGAGAAATACATTAATATTACAAGACAAAATAAACTAAATTCTGATATTAAAAAATAAATATGTCTTATGTGTCGGTACAGGATTGTAGTGTTGCTGAATAATCAAATGTTTAAAAAAAAAAGTGACCTTCAAACACTAGCATTCTCTATTCTTTTTCTATTCAATCTACTTTTAATTATTATAAAAGATAATAATAATTTGACCCTCTAACACTAGCACTATCTATTCTATTTCTTTTCTATCTACATTTTGTTCCTTCTATCTATTATTATTATTTTAAAAAACGTGCTACGTGTACTGCGTTTGGATAAAAGCACCTGATAAATGATTAAATGTAAATGTAAAATGGTGCATAGTCATCATTGTATAAATTAAATATACACTCGTTTTTATTGAAGCTACTGAAGTTATTCAGTCAAAAGCAGTGAGAGATTTTCTCCATTTCTTTGGTTGTTTGATGAACATTAGGCACACAGACAGCAGCAGCTTTATTAGGCTGCTGTCAAGACCTAATCCAATATCCTTACACACGTCTGATTTTCTCCCAACTGTTTACATTTATTAAATAAGACATAAACAAATATGTTTTACTTGAAATACTCTCTTTGATGGGTATGTTTGACAATCTTGTGTGTATTTGACCATTTTAGTGAAAGAAGCTTGCGAAAGAGAGCTCAATTCAGCACTCTGATACGACAGACGGCTTTATGCGCGCATACAGTGATTAATTTTTCCATGGCTTATTGCATTTAACAGAATAGGATAGAATAGAATGGAATGTCTTGCTTGACAGCTGCAGTCAGCATTCACTTTCATTATAACTTTTTGTTTGGTGTTATAGAAAACAACATGACTTAGTAATCATTTTTGGGTGAACTCTTACTTTAAACCAAATCTGAATTCTGCTACCTCAATGCAAATTCAGCAAATGATTTGATTTGAAATTCAAATCAGTTCTAATCATGCATCCCTACATAATTCTTTAAAACTGAACAACATGAACAACTAGATGAAATCTACATAATTTCTGCTAAAAAACAAAAACAAAAAAACAAACACAGTCCAGATTTTTTTTCTTTTTTCGTCAGGGTTTACATTGATATTCTGTACTTGTTTGTGGCAAATCCAAAGCAATCGACAGGATTTAATGTGCTTTCAAAACCATCAAGCGTGACTGTGTGTGTGTACATTTTAGTAGCTACATTTGCACGTGTGGGAAACTGTGTGCACTTGTGTTTGTGTGCACGCAATGGTTCCACATGACTGGAGATTAAATGGCTTGGAATTCCAAGCCCAGTGGTTTACTCCAGTGCCATTGGTCAGAGATACTACACCATCTCTCACATCCTGCCTTTCTTCTCTGTTCGGTTTTTCTTAGGAAATATGTGGGCCCAAACGTGGTCTGCTATCATGGACCTTGTCATTCCGTACCCTGATGCCACACAAGTGGATGCCACGCCAGCCATGATTGCCCAAGTAAGATTACAACTATAAACACATTCTTTAATCTATATCTATTCCCACAATCTGAATTCTTCTGAAAGCAGTGGCTGTTTATATGAAGTGTCAAAGAACATGCTGTTTACACTGAGTGTAAATAGTGGTAGATACTCTTTGCACCAAGTGTAAATAGCAACAAATAGCATCTTGTTTACATGGAGAGCAAATAGGTATGATAGATACGTTTTATGCCGCCATATTTAAATTCAAACAATGCAAATAAATGTTTGGAAATGTAAACTGCTATTTCCTAAAATAAAAGCAAAAGACATAAATAACCATCTTGGTGAAGAATCATTTGGTGAAGTATTTTTCTAGTAATGTGCAATGGCATATAAAGGACACAAATGGCAAATCTAACATACCTGTAAATGTCTGTAACCATGTCCTCTGATGTGCGGTGCTCTTTGGTTCTTCAGGGTTGGGACCCCAAACGGATGTTCGAGGAATCGGACCGGTTCTTCACTTCTCTGGGTCTTCTGCCCATGCCTCCTGAGTTCTGGAACAAGTCCATGCTGGAAAAGCCAACAGATGGACGTGAAGTGGTCTGTCACGCATCTGCGTGGGACTTCTACAACCGCAAAGACTTCAGGTACGTTAATCATATAACAGTAAGATGGTCCACACTAGAGCAGGACAGGTTTGAGATTTAGTTTAACAATGAATGCTGTGATACCACTTGTAAAAACCAATACGATTTTTTGACATGAAGTTTGTTCTGAAAATTCCAAAAATCCATCCAAGGTGGTGGAAATGGTTAAATATATAATTAAAATGGACATAAACAATGCTCATTAGTATTTCCTTTAAAAAAAATAAGTGTGCTTAATTATATTGAATGCTTATTTGTAGTGCACTTCAAGTCATAAAAGTATATATTTTTTAAAAACTGTAGATATACTGCAGATATACTCTTGTTCATTTGATGAAGGGAGGATGTTAGAGCTGTAAAGACTGAAACAACAACTTTCTAGCCTTTTCCTTCCCACGTGTTATCTTGTAAATCTCGCTGTTACCTTTCCCCATCCTCTTACCATCTCTAGGATCAAGCAGTGCACAGTGGTGACCATGGACGACCTCATTACTGTGCACCATGAGATGGGCCACGTTCAGTACTTCCTGCAGTATAAGGATCAACCCATCTCTTTCCGCGACGGCGCCAACCCTGGATTCCATGAGGCCATTGGTGACGTTTTGGCCCTGTCAGTTTCCACACCTAAACATCTTCAGAGCATTGGCCTGCTGGACAAGGTGGAGGACAATAAAGGTACGGCTCATACATCTATAAAGATGAACAAAACACATGAAATGCTAGGGATCAACCCATCTCTTTCCGCGACGGCGCCAACCCTGGATTCCATGAGGCCATTGGTGACGTTTTGGCCCTGTCAGTTTCCACACCGAAACATCTTCAGAGCATTGGCCTGCTGGACAAGGTGGAGGACAATAAAGGTACGGCTCATACATCTATAAAGAAGCTTGCAACAAAACACATGAGATGTCCTGATGAGCATTGCCTTGGATAAGATTGCCTTCCTGCCTTTTGGCTACCTGATGGACCAGTGGAGGTGGAAGGTATTTGATGGAAGGATCTCAAGCTCAGAGTACAACAAAGAGTGGTGGAACCTGAGGTGACTGTTCTTCTATTAATCCACACTGTTAAAGGGATAGTAGCTAGAGCTAGAGGAAAACGAGGACGGACAAAACGTGGATAAATAAACCAAAAGTAGGGCTGTAAACTTAATCAAATCGCGATATGGACTACTGTCTGTGAATATTAAAGCTCAAAAAGACTACTATTTAAATATGAGATCAGCATGTTCGTGCAAGTGACGGCATTTCGAGGGGGTCCCTGGTTAAAAATCGCATTCCAGGGGGGAAAATACACGTTTTTTGGCAGGTTTCCCCTGCTAAAATTCGCATTCCAGGGGATAAATATCATGTTATTGGAGTCGCTTCAACCCGCCGACATGAAAAACAACCCGCGGCAACAGTGTTAAAGTAACCCAATTCCACGGGGAAACCGCGGGCTTGGCAACACTGCTTTGCGAATCGTTTATTTCGAACCAATGGTTCGGAACGCGTAACTGCCAAAGTCACGTGATTTCAGTAAACGAGGCTTCGTTACGTCACAACTGTTTAGAAATGTTTCAAAATATCATTGATTCGTATTCATATTTAAGATGTTTAAAATTGGATTTAATATGGGTTTGTAAAAGCTGTTTTATGCATGTTTGGGCTGAGTTTTTGTTGTAGTTAAACAGGCTGTTTCTCACTTCCAAGAACGCATCTTTGTGAGAATTGAGATGCACTAAGATCTTGTTGCTCAACTGACCATCCGAGCACAGTAGTGGCCAATAAATACAACATATAATATTGGTTCAACGGCTCTGATGCACTCAACTGTCACAGCTTTAATTGCATGGAAGGGGGAGGGGCTATCAGACTCCAATTATGAATGACAAAATAACCTTATATAATTCATACACTACATGGTTGAGTTCATAGTGCATAAATACAGAGTGTATAAGTGCATAGCTAATCTCTGGTTTGTTTCAAAGGTCTTCACGAAAACCCGTCAAAATAAAAGTTCAGATTAACTTGAAGAAATTATAACAAATATATTAGTATTGTACAGTAAAATGTAGAATAATGATAATAATAATACAGTTTATTAAAAAAATAATGAATATTACATACATTTTCATCCATGTTTTTCACAAATATAAATTTATACAGAAAATAAATAAATAAATAAATAATCTAAAATATTTAAAAAATAAATAAATAAAAATTATTTTTAAAATAAAGTTGTTTAAACATTTCAAATATTTAATGACAGCTCAGAGGCAATGCAGATGTGGCTAACATGAGTGTCAAAATAAAGGTGCATCTTAAAAAAATATTGTATAGGCCTATATGAATTTTTTACATGTTGCTTCGATACATCATATTGTCATTTAATTGATGCATTGATCCATATGAAGGTATTGTTACACCCCTAGTTGTTATTGTTGTTTCCTAATCAGTTATATTAACATTAAAGCTGTGCAATATGTAAAGTTCGTTCCAGAGCTAAATTTGTGTATTTTACTGTAACAGAATGAAGTACCAGGGATTGTGTCCACCTGTACCGCGCACTGAGGAAGACTTCGACCCTGGTGCAAAGTTCCACATCCCAGCTAATGTGCCCTACGTCAGGTACACAACAAAACAATATATCACTAATGTGGAAAGATCTTGCATCTATCATGTTACACAACTCGTGTAATCAAATAAGCCTTTGGATTGACCGTTTATTTGGTCTGGCTCCAATAGGTACTTTGTGAGTTTTGTAATCCAATTCCAGTTCCACAAAGCCCTGTGTGAAGCAGCCGGTCAGCCAGCTCCACTCCACAACTGTGACATCTACCAGTCCAAAGAAGCAGGGAAACTCCTGGGGTCAGTAAAGCACTGAGAACTCAGACTGGTTCCAGTTTCTACAAGCACTAAGAGCAATAGAGTGGTAAGATTTTATAGATTCTCATCATTTTTGCCTGCGAGTAAAAGAGCTCTACTCCCTCCTCCTCAGTGATGTGATGAAGATGGGCTTCAGTAAACCCTGGCCCGAAGCCATGACTTTAATTACTGGCCAGCCCAAAATGTCAGTCCAGCCTCTGATGGAGTACTTCCAACCGCTCATCGAGTGGCTGGTGGAGGAGAACAAAAAGAACGGTGACGTCCTGGGATGGCCAGAGTACGATTGGACGCCTTACAAAAGTAAGCCTGGAGTTCAGAAATCGACATTCAAATGTTGGTTTACCGCACAATTTTCTGTTTCATTGTAAAACAAAAGTGCTTCAGCTGGGAAACTGGGGTGAAGCACTTTTTTAAACCACTGGATTTGGGTGATTCTTTAAATAGAGAAACTGCACTCTAAAAAATGCTGGGTTGTCTCAACCCAACTTTGGGTCAAATATGGACTAACCCAACTTTTGGGTTAAAAATGTAACTTAAAAATGTAACTCAACACCTGGGTTAGTCCATATTTAACCCAAAGTTGGGTTGAAACAACCCAGCATTTTTTTTAAAGTAACAACAACAACAACAACAGTTCTATTTTCAAGGATGGAATATATTTTTCAGAATTTTTTTGTGTGTGTGCTTTTAAAACTATTTTAATATTGCAATTTTTTGGAGTGCTGAAAGGTGAAATTTGCCAGAATTTCTCCATTTTTGTATTTATATATCATATTTTTTATAACAATTTTTTCAATTAACTTGGTACTGTATATGAACAATTTATTTATAACAGAATCTCTGTTCCCAATATTGCTGTCACACCAATAATTTTATAATATAATGTAATATAATATTAGATACAGTATATAAAACATAATATTATTTTTATTAGGTTTAGATTGTTATGATGGAAATGACAAGTTAAAGGGCATCGCAGAAGCTCAGAAATATCAATTTTAAGATTTTAAAGGGGTCATATGATGCTGCTAAAAATAACAAATGTAAATTTAGAAACAATCCATTTCTTTTTAGCAAAGAAAGTTCCAAGTGTTATCCAACTTTTTTCTTCAAAAAGTACAAAATTTCATTACCATCAATTTTCAGAAATCCACAACATAGCAGTTAATTAGCACTAATAAAATGCTCACACACTTCTCACCTGCTTGTTTCAGTCACTTCAGTGATGGAAGAGAAGCCGAAAGCAATCAGTTTCCTGGGTTTGAGTGTGGATGAGGGAGGCGCTGTGGCGGGACAGTGGATTCTCCTGGTTCTGAGCATCGTCTTCCTGCTTGGCATCATCTATTTAGTCTACAGATACAGGAAGACTAAACGCTTACAGGACAAATCAATGTCTCAGATGGAGCTCAAGTAAAATCCTTTAAATAGGAATACATTCTATTCTTACCATGCAGTCATTACTTTTTGACAGAATCCACGAATGTAATGTATATTTATTATTTTTGGTCAAATTTGTTTAATATGCAATGAAAGGTGACTTGTAATTTATTTGTAAAAAAAAAAAAAATTTAATGTTTGACTGCTGTTTTCAATTATTTGTATAGTCTTAACTGTGAGCATTTCTGATTGATTTTCCTGGTAAACCTTTATACATTTTAATATCAGTACAATATAAAAAATCCTTACAGATCATCATGTTTTTTTTTTCTTTGTGGACATACAGTATATTTTCTCAACTATATACCCAGGTCTGAGGTATACAAACACTCATTTGCTCAGAATGTAATGAAGTCTAGTGGTTTAGTATCCAACTCTATACCCTCTAATAACTAACCAAGTCAACCAATGTGGGCTTCTCTCTGACAATTCACTCAAATCCACCACTTGATTATATTAAATTCCACTTAAATATGAAACTCATTCCACATCCACCATTTAAGAATTTTATACCATGTTCAAGTTCAACACTGAACATTTGCAGTATTCTCATCATTGAGAGTGGGCTGATATGAGCTAAACTGAGCAATCCTTATGACTTGGCAGTACATGTACATCTTTAATAGAAATGATGACATTTGTTCAAGCATTAAATCAACATTCTTCACATGTATGATAAATCGCATCAAGACAGTAGTTTCTAGTAGCTGTTGTTCTGCAAAAAAAAAAAAAAGGGTCAATACAATACTATTTGAGAAGAGACAATAGATATTCTTAAAGCAGTACTATGTAACTTTTTCTGTGTTCAAAATTTGCAAAATGTATATAATGAGCGAGTACATCATGAATTCATCTTCCAAACCGCGTTTTTGTCTTATTCCGAATAACTACGGTACACTTATAATAAGTACTTATATTTGGACTATTGTAGCCTGGTCGGGTCGTCACCGCTGCGGAGTAACACATAACTGCGTGAATCGCCATAGACATAAACTTAGAGAAGTAGCCAAAATTTACATAGTGCTGCTTTAAAGTTTTCGTCAATTCATCTTCCAAACCGCGTTTTTGTCTTATTCCGAATCACTACGGTACACTTATAATAAGTACTTATATTTGGACTATTGTAGCCTGGTCGGGTCGTCACCGCTGCGGAGTAACACATACCTGCGTGAATCGCCATAGACATAAACTTAGAGAAGTAGCTCCGGTTGGAATGTTCTTCCGCGGGATGTGTGCAGTTCTGTTTATTAACCGCTAGAGCGCCAAAAGTTACATAGTGCTGCTTTAACAGTAAAACAAACATAAAGACATTAAACTGAAAATCTGAAATAAAGAGTGATTTGCAAAAACCGACAACAAATCTCAGTCATATTTCACTACAAAATCAAATGAAAAATCACCATTGGCTCAAACGAAAAAGTGAAGTTTGGGGCAGGACTATATATTTTATTGACCAGTTACACATCAGCTTAGATTTTTTCTCATACAACACGAATGTTTTTTTTTTTTTTTTTTTCACATTGTAGTAATGAGAATTTCATTGTGCTTAATTGTGAAGCAATTCATATAAAAATTGCTTCACAATGAAAAAAAATCCTAAATTAAGTTTTTATTCGAATATTTTATTTCTATATTTTTTTCATTTGAGATTGACCCATCTTCTAGAGATTCACCCAACTAATGCTGACAGGAACGTGGTGGTTTGGGCAAACAATTTACACACTTAAATACTGTAGTCTTCCTTATGGAAGCCCGTTATCTCACAATTCTGACTTTATAACTCGCAATTCTGAGAAAAAAAGTCAGAATTGCGAGAAAAAGAGTCAGAATTGCGAGATAAAAACTTGCAATTCTGACTTTTGCTCTCGCAATTGCGAGTTTATATCTCGCAATTCTGACTTTATAACTCGCAATTGCAAGTTTATATCTCACAATTCTGTGAAAAAAAGTCAACTCTTTTATTTTTTATTCAGTGGCGGAAACGGGCTTCCATACTGGGAGGAAGTAGCTGAAAAACAAAAGGGAGCAGTTCTTACACAGTTAAAAAAATAAGCGTCCAATGAAAATGCAACTGGAACTTGTAAATCAAGTCTATTTCCTCAGCGCTGTTTGATCAGAACTGGTCTCAGATCATTTAAAGCATGATGGATCTCCATATCTCAATGAGTAAAATGCCCCAATTATAGTGACATAAAAAAATTCTTTTAATGGAATGAAATTTAAAATGCAATTAAACACACTTGAAACTGAAATATATTTACATATTCATAAAACTAGGAAAAAAAATATCAGTTGCTCATTACTAAGTCAAGGATGTCCCAGACAATGCTGACAATACTCTGGGGCTTTGTTGAAAGCGGTTTAATGGTCTACAAATCATGATATTGCACACAGACCAACAAACATTTCAAAACGTTCTCACTGCATGAGTGGCGGCTCCAAACGCTAGTGTCCAGTGTCTGTTGAGTTGAGTTGAGGCGGGGTTAATAAAAGACATCCTCCAATCATCACGCTCCCCTGGCTCTGAGGTGAAGAGGTCAGTAGTAATATTCATGCATTTTTGTCCAGTTGGTGACCCAGAGTTTCTTGCTCAGTTCTTGCTCGGGCTGAAAGGCCAAGTTATACTTATAGCGCTCCTCTTTGCGTACTTTCACACCGTGGTACTTTGGCATTATCCTGTAGTAAACGGCCCTTTTGAAGAAACCACACTGCTCAAGACAGACGAGAGAATCAAAGAAACGTTTCAGGTAAGAGTGACGGATATGCTTTGTAATGAAACTTTAAAAGTCAAAAAGTGTAATACGATTTTAAATGTTATCATTTATTCACCGTCAAGACAACCCTATATTATTTCTTCTTTCTTTTTTTGAGAAACAAGATGTTTTCCATATGAAAGTGGACAGTGATTTATGCTGCCGCAAAAAGCTCCACAAAAGCATCATAAAAGTCGTTCATATGACTTGTGCACTATATTTCAAATCTTCTGAAGCCATTTGATCAATTTTGCGGCTACAACATTTTCTCATGTTCTTTGTTCAAACTTGTTACTTTATGATTGGTCATGTGACGGACAAGAAAAGTTGTTTGCCATCAAATTTTATGACCCAAATGGCACTTTTATGATTCTTTTATGATGCTTTTTGTCATTTTTGGAGTTTGCAGTACTAATCTAAATCCACTTTTCTTGAAAAACAGCAGCATGGAAATTGTGCATCTCATTTTGTGTTTGACAGAAGAAAATAAATAATATGACAAGAGGGTAAGTAAGTGATGACAGAATGTTAATTTTTGGGTGAATTATTTCTTGGAAGGAATAGTTCACCCAAAAATGAACATTTGCTGAAAATGTACTCGGGCCATCCAAGATGTAGATGAGTTTGTTTCTTCATGGGAACAGATCTGGAGAAATGTAGCATTACATCACTTGCTCACCAGTGGATCCTCTGCAGTGAATGGGTGCCGTCAGAATGAAACAAATAACGTTTTTATAAAGTCCATCCCCTGTTGTCCTCTCACATCAAAATCCAACAAACCTATTTGTTTTGGCTTCTAAACGGTGCTTGATCTGTGCATATTTCTCTCCAGATTCGGAGAAATGGCCTTTTCACTGCATATAAAGCAATATTCTAGATAGAGGATTCATATTTTAGCCGGTTTGAAGTTAAAAATGTTTTGATGGATTTGTTTCTTACAAACACACAGCTTTTCACTTCACTGGAGTGGTGTGGATTACTTTTGGATTACTGGGATGTTTTTATCAGCTGTTTGGACTCTCATTCTGACGGCACCCATTCACTGAGATTAAAGAACGGGAGAGAAAAAAACCCAGAGTCTTCATGGTTTAGTTAGGATTAGCTGAAAGTACAGCACACAAAAAAATTTGTAACATTTCATTAGTGGAAAAAAGTGCATCGAGATTCCCGGTTGAGCTTATCTGGGGATATTTAGGGTTAGTGAGCAAGATGGACAGAATGAGAAAGGAAGAGATTGTTATTTGACTCTGGCAGTGAAGGGATTACAGAGTTAAGCCAGAAAACAGGCTTGCGAAGTGAAAAGTCAGAAAAAGCGAATGGTAACTAGACAGATCTCAAGGGTCTGCTTTACCGAAGGGCCCTAACGGTGCTGCCATAGCGGCCCGAGGGCCCCCGCAGGCTCAGAATTCCTCCGTCAGCCTCTCTGTCTCAGAGGGCTGGATCTTTATTTCTGCTTTCTGGGATTTGGCCTCATACATCTCCCTCCTGCTGGCCCGTCGGAAGAAACCACACTGTGGAGGAGGGGCGGAGCCCAAGGCGGGACATTAATTACTGATATAATAACCAGAGGCGGTGATATTTCACATCAAGGGTGCACTGGGTAAAACTGAATTTCATGGACTGCAAGCATGTGGTTTAAATCTGTCCTGTCATTTGCATTTATTAAGGTTAAGTTATAGTTTGTAAATAAATGTTTTAGGAAAAGTGCCTAAAAGTGGGAGGTATGACCAAAATCTAATTTCACACTACGAGCAGTTTTATGTAATGGTACTATTGAAAAGTTTGGGGATAGACTGATTTTTTTTTTATTCAGCAAGGACACGTTGAATGAATCAAATGTGGCATTATTTGAAATAACTGCTGTTCTTTTGAACATTGTATTCATCAAATATTTTGGAGCAACAAATCAGCATATTAAGAATGATTTCTGAATTATCATGTAACACTGAAGACTGGAGTAACGATGCTGAAAATTGAGCTTTGCATCACAGGAATAAATTACATTTTAAAATATATATTTAAACTGAAAATCGTTACTTAAAACTGTAATAATATTTGACAATATTACTGTTTTTACAGTATCTTTGATCAAATAAATGCAGCTTTGGTTAGCAGAAGAGACTTAAACAATTTTTCAAAAACATTAAAAAATCATACATAAATTGTAGTGTATATCAAAATATTTTTTTTATATTAAATAATGTGCTTATGCTTACTTTTTGATTAATCCAGTGAATTAAATACTTCATCTTGTTTCATTATTTTCTCTTTTGTTTGGAATCTGATAGATGCAAACCAATATATATATACAGTATATATATATATATATATATATATATATATAAAACAAAAAAGTCTGGCATCAGTGAAAAAAAAAAAACAAAGCTTAACCCAACATTACACTTGACTTAAAAAAGAAAAAAAATATTATAAAATGTCGATTGTCGACACATTTTTTGCTAAAATTCTGAACATTTTTATTTGATCTTGATGGAATGTTGACCAAATATAAAAGCACAAATACCTTCCACAGGATGAGACTGATGATGCCTAATAACAGAATCCCTGCAACCGCTGAAACAATGATGATCCAGAGAGGAACTTCATACGGCGTCTCCTCTCCCAGCACCGGGTCAATGTTTACTAAAAACTACAGACAATTCAATTAGATGAGCTTTCAGCAATGCATTAGCAGTTACACAGAGAATATTTATAAGGATTGGATGATCCAAACTTTCACATTCTGTCATCATTTATTCACCTTATTTAGAAAAAAAAAATGATTCAAAGTTCATAGTGGCCACATGCTTTCAAGCTCTGAATAGGACACAAAAGCACCATAAAAGTAGTCCTTATGACTTGTGCACTGCATTGCAAGTATCTGAAGTTATTTAAAGGGGTCATATGATGCTTTTTTAAAGATCATTATTTTGTGTATTTGGTGTAACAGAATATGTTGACATGCTTTAATGTTCAAAAAACACATTATTTTTCGTGTAACACACAACCCTAATATACAAAACTGATAAGAAAAAACTAAGAAACAGAGAAGAAACATTTATTTAAAAAAAACATCAAATTTGAAATGTAACGCAGGAAATTCTGGGAATGTAAATTTACGGTTATTCACTGTAAATTATATAGTCTTTTTCACTTCCAAAAACGGTATACTACCGTAAAATTAATACATGTAATGTCCAATGTAGATTTTCACCGTATATAGTAGGGGAATTTACCGTTAACCATTTAACAGGTTTTTACTGTAGGATTTTTACAGTCTTTTACCGTTAAATTCACGGTTTATTTTTTACAGTGTACCAATTTATGTCATTATTTGCCACAAATCTTCATTTTTTCAGCAGCTCTCATATCAAAGGTTCCATTGGCACAGCTGAACATTAATAGAATCAAACATCATTGACTCTTGCATGTCTAGCACACAAATTAGTCAAATAATATAAAATAGTAGATAATGACATATTTTGCACTGTATTTTACATAAAGATATCAAAACTGTTTCAGAAGTCAAGTCATTTTTATTTATATAGCACTTTATACAAAACAGATCCCAGTAATAAACAGGAAAATAACCATTAATGTTGCAAAATCATCAGTTATTAAACAAACTCATTTTCAGCTGTAAAGCTGAAATTACTCAGATGAATTTTGTCCAGTGTTGATTCAGTAGTAACAGTGTTGATGTTGCAATGTTGATCAATTCTGAAACTAATTTGTTTCACAGCAGCTCTACAGAAGACAATAATGTCATTGTTCAGCTCAATTTAGTTCAACATTGATTCAATTCAGTTCAGCAGCAGTGTTGATATTGCAAATTTGATCAATTGTGAAACAATTTGATTCACAGCATCTCTACACAGGACAATAGTGTTATTGTTCAGCTCAATTTAGTTCAATGTTGATTCAATTTAATTCAATAACTATGTCAATATTGCAAAGTTCATCAATTATGAAACAACTTCAAATACAGCTGTGAAGCAGCTCTACAGAAGACAATAGTATCATTATCCAGCTCAAGTTTTGTTCTTTTTTTGATAGTGTCAGTGCAGTCAAAGTGATAATATTTCTTTTAAACCCCAGTCCATATGACTTGTGCACTAAATTCCAAGATATTTCAGAACTAGACTTACAGTTCAGTGCGATAAAAGTCATCGAGACTACTTTAATGGCGTTTTCACAGTTCATTTTTGGAGCTTGACAGTCTGTGGAGATTATGAACTATAAAGCATCATGAGGTTGAGCAAATAAATCGTTATTAGGTGAACTTTAATGCGAACAGCTCTGACCTCTCTGGTCTTGTTGGCCATTCTGATGGCCGGTTTATCCTTCAGCAGTCTCAGCGTGGCCTGGCCCTTCACTTCTACTCGCAGGGCATTGGCGTAATCCTGCCAGAAAACCACAGAGATGCATAGAGCCATTTAGTGAGCACCATTTAGTGAGTACTTCACAAACAGCTACTAATACAAACCTCCAGCAAGGTGCTGTTCCACACGCGTGACCTGACTCTGATCTCCGCCTGACTCGACATGTTGTGCAGCGGGCAGGAGAAGGTCACACAGCGAGCCGTCCGCTTTGAACACTCCTGAACAGAGACAAAAGCCATTCGGATGATGAAAAAACTGCTGGGACACCATGAAAATCATTCCTCAGAGAGCAAACATCTGCCTCACCAGAAAATGGGGCACTTTACGAGGTGCCAGGACAGTGACAGAAGCTTCTGCCTGGGGATATCCTGATTCCACCCCTCTTTTAGACCGTTTGGTACCTCGATCTGACAGCTGGAAGAGACGATGTAGGACAACAATTGAATGGAGTGAATGAAATTGGAAATGAGTTACTGTGGGCTGTATTTCCTCAGACTCACTGTGAGCTTGAGAGGGTTGACAACCTTCCCCGGTGGGACACAGCGCGACTCTGAAGCTCCTTTGATCACTATCTCTGTGAGATACAGCAGCCATTTCCCATTGGCTACCTCATATGGCCATTCAAAGTCAATCATCAGAGTTCCCAAATCTCCCAGAGGTTCTCCCTGCATGTGCACCTGGAAAGACCATTTTGAATGTTTTTACGCTTTTAACTGTTTAAAGGGAGCTTAAAAGCTCTGTCATCATTTATTCACCCTCATGTCATTCCAAACCTGTATAAACTTTCGTCTTCAAAGATATTTTGAAGAACGTTGGTAACCGAACTATGGAAGTCCTAAGAGGCCATGGATTATTAATACCGTATTGACCCGAATATAAGACGATGTTTTTTTCTTGGAAATACATCTGAAAAAACGGGGTCGTCTTATATTCGGGCCAATACGGTATTTTTCTCTCTTGTTTTTTCGAATTCATTTTCTTGTGTTCTCGACATAACAAAAGTTGTCCTGTAAGTTACACAACTGCGCCAACAGAAAAAAGAAAGTTATACACATTTAGAAACACAATGAGGCTGAGTAAATAAAGACAGAGTTTTCATTTTTAGTGAACTATCCCTTTAAAAGTGGCCTCAAATCACATTTTGGTCCATTTAGTTGTGATGTCCATCTATTTTTCATTTCCACTGTTGTTTTTGGGAATCTGCACCAATTACATATTGTATTTATTATGTTTGTCTTCCTACTAATATTATAGTAGAAAAATATAAAAGTTATATATTTTTGCCCTACTTTCTTAATTTTAATGTGGTAATGATTAAACCCTTGAGCTTTTTCATCATCATTCACTTTTTAAGTACTGGCCAAAAACATTTACAACTGCACTACTATTTAAAATTGGAGACAGTAGAATTTGTTTTTATTTTTTATTTTTTGAAAGAATTTAATACTTTTATTCAGCAAGCATGCATTAAACTGACCACAAGTGACATTTATAATTTCTATTTCATATTAGTCCTGTTCTTTTGAACTTTTCATTCATCAAAGAATCCTGAAAATTGTATTTGACTATCAGGACTTTTATTTTGAAGTTATTGTTAGAGTAACACTGCCATGTAGTGGCTGTTTAGCATTATATTAAGCCTTAAAGTTCTGCATAATTAAGGGCGTGGCCACTTGAGTGACAGGTGGATTGCCGCTGTTGTCACCACGTCGAGCTAGGTGGGCGTGGTTTCAGCAACCAGCTCCCGCCTTTTTGCCCATTTTCGATTATCCAGGAGTGACGCGCGGTGACGCGCTGCCAAGATGGCGACAGCCGGCTCTGCCCACTTTGAGCTTCAAAAACCTCTTCAGGAACCTACGGGTGACGTCACGGACACTACGTCCATGTTTTTATACAGTCTATGGTTAAAACCAAGGAGTAGCCAGAGCACACGGCTTGCAGTGTTGCCAAGTCCGCGGTTTTCCTGTGTAATTGGGCTACTTTAACACTGTTGCCGTGGGTTGTTTTCCATGTCCGTGGGTTGAAGTGACACCAATAACGCGATATTTAGCCCCTGATATGCTAATTTTACCCGGGAGCCCCACCAAAAAAACGTGTATTTTACCCGCCGGAACGCGATTGGGCTAGTTTTGAGTAGCAATTGGCCGGGTTTTGTTGTGAAAACCTGGCAACCCTGACGGCTTGATAGATGGTGCATCTAGTTTTCTCTTTACGTTGTTCCTGGAACACTATTTGTCTGTAAGTGACTGAAAGATATTGTTTTCATATTAAGAAAGTTTCATTGTTGCTTTCAGAAATGTATAATTTACCTGCCAGTAGTTTATCTTTTGTGTTTAGCTTTTTATTAGTGTATTGACATGTCTATTTTGTTCTGTATTTTCAGTTTTACAATATAAAAAGGGAAAAAGTACATTTCAATTAAACCCAGGAAAAGTTACACCTTGAGTCATTATTGGAGTTTCATCCCTCATGTTAGCTGCAGAGCAACGCATCCTGAGCACTGTATAAAAATAGTAAGCAGCACAACTGTTTTTAAAGGGATAGTTCACCCAAAAATGAAAATTCTGTCATCATTTACTCATCCTCATGTCGTTCCAAACCTGTATGAGTTGCTTTCTTATGTTGAACACAAAATAAGACATTTTGAAGATTGATGGTAATGAAACAGTTGGTGGTTTCCATCGACTTCCATAGTATTTTTTTTGTCCTACTATGGAAGTCAATGGCAACCACCAACTGTTTGATTACCAGCAATCTTCAAAATATCTTCTTATATGTTCAACATAAGAAAGCAACCATTTTTGGTGCGTGTCTGAAGAAACCTAAAGCCACACTTACACGAAACACAAACTCCAGCGGACTCCCCACATCACTGGTGCTGCTCATGGCAGATTCACCAATCACACTGCCACTGAACGTCGTGTCAATCACTTTGTTTTCTCTGAACATGACAGAAAAAAAAATGTAAATCACAGAATCAAAAAGATTTTTATCATCAGGACTGTTTTTGTTGTATGAGGGACATTCAAAAGTAAAATGTTTTGCTTCAAATTCTCATTTGATGAACTTTTGTGTTTTAACATGCACAGATGAATCATCTATTCATTGTAAATGTTCAAATTTTTTTCTTAATTTTAAAAAACATATCAAAGTACGTACAGGGAAAAGGTAGTGAGGACCGTGTTCTTCACATCGAGAGTGACAGGAACAGGATCCAGATCCTTCTGCTCACTGATACTGAAGACAAACACAATACAAATCAGCTTAAAAGAAAAGGCCCGCAGAAATGCTTTAGTTCAACGCTGTGCACTGAGGGAAACTATACTGTATAAACAAGAAACCATTTTAGTTAGTCCAGACTTACGTGGAGAGCTGAAGCTGAGATTCAATCTTCTTTGTGTAAAGTGTTACACCAGAAGTCTCAAAGATGATTATCAATGAGGTCTGTGGAGACGGAAATCAGGAGTCAGAGCAAATTAGCAAAACAGATCAGCTGTACAGTCTGATTAGCTGAGTTCATTCAAATGGCCCGTGGAAAATGAGTCATTGGAGATGTTTTTTTAATGAACACGCAAATCCTCAGAAAGGACACATATTGGACTCGTTTTCAGTAAGAAAACAGACTGCTACCTTTTGATTGCTTTTAAATGGGTTTCCCAGATCGCATATCACAGTCTCGTCTGCGCTGCACTCAATATCTAAACCAGTCTGTAATAAAGACAAACCAAGAAAGTTGAGAACAGCATTGAGAACACTGAAATTATCTAATTAGGAAGAGTTACTAGAAAGAGTCTCTAATAGGAAGTCTATTTCAGTTTTTAGTAAGTTTGGTAATATAATATAATATTATATTATTTAATTCAACTGGAAAATCAAACAGGAAATACAGGAGAATTGTATTGCTCAAATGTTGCTCTTTCATAGCTCAACCAAGAACAATTGTTTATTTGAGATATTACAGAGCTCTTCTTTGTGATTTTTCTTTTCTGAGGGATGCAGCCTGTGGAGGTGAGCTGAAGAGTGAAAGAGCGCCTCCGTGTGGACTCACCAGGGTGCGCACTCCTGAGTATTTGAGTGAGGGGGGAATGGTGATGCTCAGCATGGCCTGATGGGCGTCCTCGGCCTCCTGCCTGCCTCCATCCGGCATGTTAGTAACATCCACCATCATCACCAGCTTCTTAATGCTACTGTTGAACTCGATAGTCTGACTGAACAAACCAGCACATCCCATAATTCCCATGTGTATTTAAACATTAGTATTTGAAGAAGACAGTAGCTTGTAAAATAAAATTAAAATAAATATATTTCTATCATGAGAACTCTCGGAGGATTTTAGCATGGTAATGGATATGACAATGTTAATGTATTTGGTCTTGGTGGAATAGATCTGCTACGCTGCTGCTGCTGCTGTTGGTTATTGCTGTATTTGTAGATTATTGCTGCTGCAAGCAAGTACAGAAACTCAATACATAAGCCAATACATAAGCCGATATGCTGCTGTGAGTATTTAAGACACACTGCTGCTGCACAAATAGCATATAAAATAACCCGTTGCAGATCTATACAGGTGGAGCTGGGGAAGGCGGAGGGTTTCAGAGGAACTCTGAAAGCGCGCTGCAATGCTCAAGCGAATGCTAATCAGCCATTTAAATGTAAAGCAGCAAGCTTATTGGCTGTGTATGCAACGGGAACCAATCAGCTTGTGACAAGCTGTTTAGTGCTAAGAATATCATCAGTTACGTTAAGGACCCATATCCTGCGCCATCTAGAGTTTCATGACAGAACTTGGTATTAAAACTTTTCTTTTTATATAAATAATTTTAATTTGATTCCAGGTGCTGCTTTCATGTCTGTCATATCTTTCTGTGGTGTGTTTCTTTTATCACGTAATTTCAACAAAATGATTCAAGCACAAAATAAAATAACTTAATTATTTTTTGCAATAAAAGTTTCCAATATGGAATCTGAGGGTGCAAAAAAAATCAAAATATTGAGAAAATCGCCTTTAAAGTTGTCCAAATTAAGTTCTTAGCAATGCATATTACTAATTCAAATTAAGTTTTAATAATAACTTTTAATATCTTCATGGAACATGATCTTTACTTAATATCCTAATGATTTTTGGCATAAAAGAAAAATCAATAATTTTGACCCATACAATATATTTTTGGCTATTGCTACAAATAATATAATATAATATAATATAATATAATATAATATAATATAATATAATTTGGTAAGTGGCCAATAATTTACATAATAACAATATAATATAAAATGTAATAATTTAATATCTTTTATGACATTTTTTAAAATATCTTTTTCAGGTTTTAGACTTCATTTATTACAACTATTTTAACCAAATAGTTTTTAAGTGGCCACAATATAGTAAACAACATATGAAGCATTAGATTTATGAAAAAGCCCACCAAAATTTAATGATAATAACTGAATTCACTCAAAAGACCTCTGAACTTAAATGTGAATAAATGCTGTTTGTGTACACATTTTCTTCCGTCCACATTCACTAGTTTTCCTGCAGCGTACTCACCTGGGGAAAGGAATGTAATTCTCATCAGCAAATTTGGCCTCGAGCTGCAGGTTACTGCTACACATGTTGTCAACACCACACTCCTTATGAAAGTTAATCTGAGGACAAACACACCAAAAGCACTCTCAAGACTCACATCGACAGAAACCTTCAGGCAGAGGTTTCCCTTTGGTTTGTACCTCGGTTTTGTTGGTCAGGATCTGCTGGCCGCTCAGCACAGGGAAAGCGTCCAGACTCTGCAGTGTTTGCGGTGCTGCTGCTTTCTGCTCATTCAGAGACACGTTGAGAGTGAACACTATGGGCTGAAGTTTGTCCCTCACAGGAGTCTAGAGAGGGGAGAGAGAGAGAAAAAAAAAACTTCCTAAAACAATCCTATTGCTTCTTTGCATTCACTAAAGACAGATAACTGGATCAGAAAGGCATACTTATCCTATGCAAATGTTCTACACGCATTAAAGAAGTTATTATATATGCATTATATATGTTGGCTATATATCCTGTCGAACTCATGTATTATTATAATAAATCATCAACAACAAACAAACAGAATAAATAAATAAAATAAGTTGCCAATACTTTATTTCGCAATAATGACTGGCTAACTGTACATTAAAGTATACTATACTAAACTATATTATAAAATATTTTTGTATGTTGCAAATACTTTATTTTGCGATAATAACATATAACATATAATAACAATAACATATAAAACACTTGCAATTCCTGTATTACTATTATATCATTTGTATTATTACAAATGCAATGTCCTCACTAATATAGTGAAACAAACGTGTGTGTGTGTGTGTGATCAGGTGGTCTCTCACATTAACAGAAAGTTCCAGCTCTTGACATGCAGGAGCGGAGAAAGACAGCAGGCCTGTAAATGTGCTTTGCTTGTTGTCAAGGAAACGAACTCGGGCGACACGGCGATTCGGGTCAGAGTCTACTGTGTACTTCACAGCTGATGCAGAGAGAAACAAACACACGGTTAGTCCAATAAAACACAGACCAAACACTCCTGAAGCAGGCGCTCCACTTACTGATGTCCTTCTTGAAGGCTGTGTTTCCAGTGCTGAGATTGTAGCTGAAACACACCTTCACCTTTATGCTACCAAAAAAAAAATCACATTTAATGAATTCTTTTAAAAAGTACTACAGGACAAGTATAATATGCTGAGATTGTAGCTGAAACACACCTTCACCTTTATGCTACCAAAAAAAAAAGTGTGTCTTAAATACTCACAGCAGCATATCGGCTTATGTATTGGCAATTGCAAGTTTCTGTACTTGCTTGCAGCAGCAATAATCTACATTTAATGAATTCTTTTAAAAAGTACTACAGGACAAGTATAATAGGATACATTTATGACTAAATTATATTGAAAATCAAATGCTTAAAATATTTGTTAGAATAGAAACATGTCCTCTTACCAGGAATTAACACACTGGTTTGGACTCACAATCTTTGGCTCTACTGTAAAGTTTTGGGAGAGGTGGATGACCGGACGAGCCCTGAAAAAACACCCATCAAACATCACTGGTTTGGAGGTTAGCTTGCAGAACAGACTGATTGATTTAAATGACGGTGACCAGCAGGGGGTCCTACAATCATGCAGGGACCACATATGTGTTAGGTGTAGATGCTGGTTACAGAAAGTACATGTCTGCTGGTTGCTTGTTGCTGCATGCTAGCTGTTATTACTATAAATCATCCATTAAAAACCAATCAATCAATCAATCAAATAGAAACTATATAAAATACAATATGCACATACATTCATCATTAGATGTATTTTTTATTTATTTGCAAATATAAATTATATAAAAATAATATACAAATTAATAAATAAATGAACAAAAACAACAACAACAATAATAATAAATTTTGTAGAGAAATTCTTACATAGGCACAATTTATATCTATAATAATATTAATAATAATAATAATAATAATAAAGGTAACACTTTAGAATAGGAAACACATATTCACTAGTTCAACTAGTTAATATTAAGAATTAATGTAATAATTATTTTAATTATTATTATTATTATTATCAATGTATTTATTTTTTATTTATTTGTAAATAAATAAATCTAAATTATAGAAAATAAAATATGTAACAAATAAATATTATAATAGTAATACTTATAGTAATAATACATTTATTTTTTATTTATTTGCGAATACAAATAAATAGAAATGAAATAAAATATACTAAATTAATAAACAAAATGTATAATAATAATTATTATAATAAAATGTAATTTTGTAGAGAAATTTTTGGCCACAAAAATGTGCACAGGCACAATTTATATTTGTCTATAGAGCAAAATTCAAGCACTAAAAAGGTTTTTAAGATCACGAGAAACATACATTCACTCAAGTGTGTCCACACTTTTGATTGGAAGTGTATGTGTGTATATAAAATCTGTATTTGTATATTTATGTGGCTTCTGTGTTTGGAAAAAGAATCGTTGAAAATGCCTCTGAATAATATGAGCATCTATAAATGGCAAACACTGCTGAAAGACTGAACCTCAAGAGAGCGATGCGGTCATCCATGGAGCCCACCAAAATGTCAGGATAATCATTTCCATCCATATCCAGTCCTCCACTGAGAGAGTAGCCGAACGTCTGAAAGCCACTGGGACCTAATGATTTCCCCTCGATCACCTAAGAGAAAGTCACATTACCCGTTCAATCACCCTCTTCTTATTCTCAAGGTCCAGATATGTCTGATATGGTTGATTTATGTATGATCACGCACTTATCAATGACATGCAACAGTAGGTAATTGTAGAAATGTCATCCAAAAATCTTATATATATTTCCAAAGGTGTTCCATATAAATCCCAAGATGCTTGCTTTACCTGGCTGGGTTCCGTAGTTATTCCATTTTTGCTTCCCATCCATATAAAGACTTTCCCAGAGTCTTGGAACGGAGCACCAACAGCTAAATCTGAAGACACAAACCCCAGAGCAACATGATTAACCCTCCATGGCCTCCAGATGGCAGCATTATAACACGAATTACATAATACACTACCATTCAAAAGTTTTTATGCTCATCAAGGCTGCATTTATTTCATCAGAACTACAGTAAAAACAGTAATATTCTGAAATATTATTACAATTTAAAATAACTGTTTTCTATGTGAATATGTGTTAGAGTGTAATTTATTCCTGAGTTGTAAAGCGGAATTTTCAGCACCATTACTCCAGTCTTCAGTGTCACATGATCCTTCAGAAATCATTCTAATATGCTGATTTACTGCTCAGGAAACATTTATTATTGTTATTCGTGTTGAAAACAGTTGTGCTGCTTCATATTTTTGTGGAAATCATGATTTTTTTTTTCTTCAGGATTCTTTGATAAGCAAGAAGTTAAATAGAACAGCCCTTACTTAAAAAAGAAATATTTTATATATTTTTTATATATATTTTCTGTCACTTTAATCAATCAATAATGAATTTAATGCATCCTTGCTGAATAAAAGTACTAATTTATTTATTTTTTTCTAATCTAAACTGAAATCTACGATCTAAATTTAAAAATCTAAAAATCTTATTGACTCTAAAATTCAGAATAGTAGTGTATTTTTGTATTTATTTATGTATAATGAATTTAATATATTTATATATATATAATATTTAATATATTATAATATATTTATATATATTTATTTGTGTATATTTACGTTTTAATATTTATTATGCTTATAAAGTATAATAATATTTTATACTTTTTTTTATGTTGTGTTCAAACAATTGCATATTTATAACAGTAAGTCTGTAGTCAGCGTTACCTTGAAATCCGTCCTGATTGACGTCCCCCACCGCAGCAACAGCAAACCCAAACCCTGAGCCTTTTTTACCCTTCAGAAGCAAACTGGCTTTTTCCTGGAAGGATCCGTTCTCATTCATAAAGATGTAAACAGCTCCTCCCTCCTCCTTGTTGCGATCAAAGTAGAACGGAGCTCCAACGATCAGGTCGTTCCAGCTATAACAACACGCATCCACACAAATGACATGTTATGTCTAAATTATGAAAGATTATTTTCATAGAATCCTTTCATAGCTTTAGTCAAGAATGAGAAACCTGCCATATAAAAGCATTCAGCCGTGTATCTGTTGACATGCTTAAGTATGAAGCTCAAGAGGATCTTTGCAAGGGCACATGGGGAAAGTTAGACATGCTTTGGTCTACTTCCTTTGTATTGACTTTCAAACTCAGTGAAGCGTTATACAGATCACTCTCTGTGATGATAATGGATTATTGGACATGAAAACAGTGATTCTGACAAGTTTCACCAGTAGTACAAAGCTGGTACTGACTGGTATTTTTGTGCAGTGATTCATTGGACCCCATTGACTTTTACTGTACAACTTTGTGTTCTACTAACATTAAACAATACACAAAATTATGATCTTTAAAATAGCATCATATGACCCCTTTAACAGATTAGCCAGTTATAGCATAGATAATACAATGATTCATTTACACAGTGACCTACTCGTCATTGTTGAGGTCGGTCACCGCCAAGCAGCCGCCGAAGTACGACCCTATTTGTTCCCCTGGGATCGTCATCACTGGGTTAAGAAGCAAACCTTGTTTTTCTGCCAGGATCACTGAACCTTTGAAATTGTCTCTGGGAGCCCCCGTCACCACAGTGTACTTCGAGCGATCCAGTAACTTTATGTCCTCCAGCACAGAGTAACCTGAAGAAAGAGATGAGCATTCAATTAATATTTATTATTATTATTATTAAATTAATTGGTTATTATTAACTAAATTAATTACTAAATTAATTATTAACACTAAACAATTACAATAAAACAAAAACACTAATTAATGCATAAAATGACATGTTTGGTAAGATTATTGTATAATGTTATGTAACATGTCAGTGAATATTAATGAATCAGTGAATATTTTTTAACTCCCTCATGACGATGTTTCATATTTTGTAGGGTTTTGTTGTCTTACATCTCTACTCACTGCAAAAAGCAGGTCGTTACTGAACCAAACTGCTCTATTTAGAAAACAGCTGAGCTACTGAAACAAGAAGAGCTTTTTTATTTATTTTTTCCCCAACGCTGTTATTTCCAAACATTGTCAACATGTGATTCAAAACCAACAATACAGTACAGTACATACCTATGTAGATGTTGAGTCTGTCTTCGCCTAGCTTACCGAAGCTTATTTCATGGGCATCTCCGGCAAAATCAAAGTTGGGGTCTCTCTCTTTCATATGGACAGTTCCTATATGAACAGAAGAATCCCTTTTATTAACTGAAGGATGATCTTTATATGTGATAATGGAGAGCTGACACACCAGATTTTGTTGGTTTTCTCGTACTCACCCTGCCACACAAAGCTGCCGGGCGTCCCAAAGTACACGTCATTCTCCGTCATGCCCCCTGAGATGCCCATGTTACACATGCCCTCCAGGTTCTGGTCATAGACATAAATAAATACAAAAATAGACTACTATTCTAAATTTTAGAGTCAATAAGATTTTTAGATTTTTAACGCTAATTAAAACAAACAAACAAATCCTATTTACCTCAAACTTTTGTATGGTAGTGTAATATGATTTCCACAAAAAAATATCAAGCAGCAAAACTGTTTTCAAGATTTATAATAATAATAAATTATTCTTGAGCATCAAATCAGCATAATAGAATGATTTTTGAAGAATCATGTTACACTGAAGACTGGAGTAACGATGCTGAAAATTCAGTGGAATAAATTACATTTTAAAATATATTCAAAAACAGAAAACAGTTATTTAAACTGCAATAATATTTCACAATATTATAATATGTTTAACTGTATTTTTCATTAAAATAAATTCAGTCTTGGTGATCATAAGAGACTTCTTTCAAAAACATCAAAATATCTTAATTATTACAAACTTTTGTCTAGTACTGTAAAAGTACAGGACAAGCCATGAACATTGTCCCAGCCCACATAACAAAAGGGGGCCCACTAAGGTAATGAACTCCTGAAAACAGTTTCAAGCGTATTATCAACCAACAACACCTAAAACAGCTAATCAAGGTTAGTTGAAAATTACAGGCAGGAGTGTAAAAGCAGGGTTCGAACTACACTGAGGAACAGTGGCCTGAGTGCATCTGACCCTCTCATTGAGTCCAAAGGAGGGATCCATTCAATTTTGTCTGTCGATTTTAAGTGATGGTCTTGCCTTTGCAAATAAACAGTCTAAAAAACAAAAAAAAGGAGCCAAAGATGCATCTGATCTCACCAGCACATGTCCTCCATTCCTCTGACTGGCCACGGTCACTCCCAGCCACATGCCCTCCACTATCTCTGCTGACTGCGCTGAAGGAGAAACAAACTCCATCAGACAATGATTGTATCCCTCAGTCTGCCCACAAAGAGCATCTCTCTATATGTAAATCTGAATGATGAGGTAGCAGCATGCTCAGTTGTTGGCTTGAGGGAGATTCTCAAACAGAAACAATAACATTAGCAGTTAAGTGCATGTTATTTACAGTTACATGAAAACATTGTAGTTTAAATGTATACGAAATTCAATTAGTTGAATTTAAAAGTATTTTTTGACCCACTTAAGTGGGATTAAAATCCATCTTTATATGTAATTACTTCTATTGTCTTTCAGATATGATTATGCCAAATGTATTGACTAAAATATACTTTAATGTCATTTCTATTGAAACGGGTATGTCATGTATTTAAATACATTTGCAATTACACATTTGAAATGAAGTTGCAATTTAGTACATTTTTTAAAACACAATTTAAAATTTGCTGAAGCAAAATTATTATTGGCTAGTGCTAAAGTCAACACCAGGGGCGCAACTGCACATTTGATGAGGGGTATGCAAGATCAGTGTTGCCCTCCCCCATTTTCAATACCATAGGAAAAAAAAAAAAAGTGTGTGTAGGTCAGGTCGTTGCCCCGCACGTAACATTTGCCCACCATACGCTGCTGCTCTTCGGCGCCCAGAAGTTTTTTTACGTAGCGATGACCACATGCCTGCCAACATGAAAGAAGAGATGAACAACAGGAATTCTGATTAGAATCTGCTTTAATTTTTATTTTTTATATGATTATTTGAGCCTTTAAAAAAACAGACACCAAATTATAAAGCCTGTACATTAAAACTTACAAGGTCAAAAGTTTGGAATAATTAAGATTTTTTAATTTTTTAAAAAGAAGTCTCTTCTGCTCACCAAGGCTGCATTTATTTGATCAAAAATACAGGAAAACTTTAACTCCAGATGGTTGACCCCAGACAGTAGAACACTTCTGTTAAATTTTTTTTTTTTCAAACACATGCAATATTGCTCACTTTTTAGTTGGGTAATTTTGGAGGGATTCACACTATTTTTATTATTATTATTTATTTTCCTCAAAGTTATTCATATTTTTGTACATTTTTATATACAATGAGAACACTATGTAAAATTCACTTTAAAGAACATCTGTATTACTTCATGTTTACTTATAAAGATTTGCCATGCTTAAGTGGAAGATTTATGCCACCTGGTAGAAAAACAAATACTATTAAAATTAATGTCATGATATTCCCACTATGGCCACTAGATGGGAGCAGAGGATCATTCATTGTCTCATTTACCATTTCCACTCCTTAATATAGCTCTTTTCACATGTTTTGCTTTTGGATTTATATTTAGAAATTTTAAAATCACTATTATAACAATTAAAAATAACTTTTTTGTCAAAGTTCAACATCGTTTTGTACTGAAGTATGAAGTAGCAAGTTTTCTACGTGAATCGCACAAATTAACTATTTTAAATTTAAAATCATTACTCCAGTCTTCAGTGTCACACGATCCTTCAGAAATCATTCTGATATGCTGATTTGCTGCTTAATTATTATCAATTATTATTGAATAGCAATTTTTAATAGTTGTTGTTATTATTATTATTATTATCAATGCTGAAAACAGTTTCAGTTTTAGTCAACACCATAATACTTTTGTGGAAACCATGCTACATTTTTTTTCAGGATTCTTTGATAAATAGGAAGTTCATAAATAAAAGTACATTAAAACTATCTGACTTACTGTTATAAATACGCAATTGTTTGAACACAACATAAAAAAGTATAAAATATTATTATACTTTATAAGCATAATAAATATTAAAATGTATATTAAAATGTAAATATACACAAAAACCTGGAATTGCAGCTGTGTGCGGAATTATCTTCCTTGCATGGGCTGTGCGGCGGCACGGCTCCAGCGCGGATGAATCTAATGGTACAAATCTTTGTAATCCCAGGCTATATGTAATCAGAAGCACATTTATAACTGGAATATAATTTAATTTCATTCACATGTGTTTCATAAACACATAATCCTTTCTGGATTACAATCCGCCATCAAAATTATACGTTTAATTATTCCAGCTGCTGTGAGAAAAGGCTATTAACGATCGGCCACCTGCAGCATTCTTACATGCGATAGCCTAGTAGCCGGGACAACTTCTTTATGTTTACAGAAGTGATGTAATGACTCAGCGGCATGCTCGAATTTCCCGCGAACCACTCAAATTAGAAAACATTATTATAAGCTGACCGTTGTAAATCGGGCTAAAGTAAGGCGGTAGTTTTGAACACTGGTTATGTACTTGCTCAAATATTGATTTCGGATCATTTTAACCAAAAAAAGTTACGGACTGCAGCTTTAACAACCTTCTCATTTTCTCTCAAATGTAAATCAAACGCCTATTCACAAACATATCGTGACTTCACTTTTTGAGCAATAGAGATACGCAGAAATGAACTGATATTAACGTTAATCATTTATTTGCCCTCTGTTAGGTAACGACATCAAATGTTGAATGACTGCATGAATTACAATCAAAAAAATAAATAATAGCTTGCCAATTTATATTAGTTCACTTGTACACTGCTGTATTTTAATGCATTGTTTTTCTTTTCCCCTTTGTCTTTTCTGTTCTGCGCCCTCTCCAGAGCGTTTCTCTCCTCTCTTCATTTTGGTCATGCGACTCTGTCTGTGACGGTAATGTGTCGAAGGGTGAGCGGTTGACATGCACTCCGTTTATAATAAATACATTTTTGAACTTTTTTAAAAATGCTAAAAACCGTTGAATAAAAATGTTTCATTACATTATTTTTAACTAAGCGTTTGATTATTTATAATGTTTTATTAAAGAAGATTTATAGAGATACGCAGAAATGAACTGATATTAACGTTAATCATTTATTTGCCCTCTGTTAGGTAACGACATCAAATGTTGAATGACTGCATGAATTACAATCAAAAAAATAAATAATAGCTTGCCAATTTATATTAGTTCACTTGTACACTGCTGTATTTTAATGCATTGTTTTTCTTTTCCCCTTTGTCTTTTCTGTTCTGCGCCCTCTCCAGAGCGTTTCTCTCCTCTCTTCATTTTGGTCATGCGACTCTGTCTGTGACGGTAATGTGTCGAAGGGTGAGCGGTTGACATGCACTCCGTTTATAATAAATACATTTTTGAACTTTTTTAAAAATGCTAAAAACCGTTGAATAAAAATGTTTAATTACATTATTTTTAACAACTAAGCGTTTGATTATTTATAATGTTTTATTAAAGAAGATTTTCACACAATGATTTCGGCAAAATTGCGCCCCCCTCCATGTGGCGCCCCTATGCACTGCATATACTGCATACACCGTTTTTGCGCCACTGGTCAACACCATAAAGCTAACGTGTTGTGATTGGTAGAGTGTTGCTGTATGATTGATAATGTATTTTTAAGTATACTTTATCCAACTCTCCAAGTACTAAAGCTAAAAAGCTAACAAGTACTAAGCTAAGAAAAGTCCATAGATTTACAGATCTATTAAAATGGTGTAAACCAAAAAGTCACGCCCTGCGTCTGCTCAAAGTAACTTTTAGGCTACACAGACTCAGACGCTTCCTGTGCTGAGTGTATCATGTTAATTCTGAAGCAAATACCTGCCTACAACATGAGCCAGTAATGCCGACCTGCGAGAGGAGGGAGAAAGGCAGGCCAGAAATGTGAAGATGAAGGTCTTTTGAATAGCATGGAGTGAGACAGCACTCAGACAGGTGAATTTTATGGTTGCTGTGTTGAGGCTTTGTAAGGGAAATTTTATTATTATAGGTATTATTTGCTTCACTGTACTAAAGAGTGTTCTTATTCACTGTCCCTGAGTGCTTCATCAATATGCTTGTGTTTTCGATGAGCTGAGAGATAAGAGGACATCTATTTAATGTGTGTGTGCAAGACAAGTGTGAGATGCTATTTTAGACCTAGCATCTTCTAAGAAATGATCTGCATTAAATACTTAGAAACGCATCTTGGGGACATAGTTGAATATGCATTATGATTGGTTGAGATAGAAGCATCCTGATTCGATTAGGGTATAAATAATGAGTTAAGGTATTTTCTCTTTGTCGCACTCTGTGGCCAACTTGAATGACTGTATGACTGTTGGCTATTTCTAGCAAGAAATAAGTATTCAAAGCACTTTCTGCCTCTTGCCTTATTGAAATAGAAAATTGACACAACAGGCTTGTTTTGACTTTCACTTGTGTCTAAAACAGGAGCAGGTAATTTTGGGAAATAGATAGGACTGTCCGAGCCCTGATATACAGTATGTAGATGTTAAAAAGAAGCTTTGCCAACACAGGAATAAATTACATTTTAAAATATATTCAAATGGAAAGGTTTTTTTTTTTTTACTTTTCCTGCTTTAAGCATAGATTTCTGATAAGTTATATGAATACCTACGTGGACTGATGATGTCCATCCTCCTGCAGTCATCCTGCTCGATAGTGATGGGACAGTAATACACGGCTCCGGTTTCATTAATGTTGAATTTGCTGAGTTGGGGCTGGGCTTTTTCTTGGGGTGCTCCGACTAAGAGGCTACAGAAGAACAGCAAACACTCAATGAAAAACTAAAATCGATAAAATTACAATTTTTCAGAATACAATTCATCTATTTTCTAAATGCATAATATATTGTGAACAATTCACCAGTGCATATGTTTCATTTAAACAAAAATGGACCAGGACTTCTCCAATCATTTAGTCTGTTTAAACCACACCTCTAGAAGCTTGTGTCAACATGACTTTTAACCAGAATATGGGCCTGAACTGAAAATTATGTGCATGTAAAAGTGGTCAGCATGGTCTCACAATTGTCTGTGTAATTGTGTCACAATTTCCTCATTTTATCTGGTTAGAGAATAAATAAATTGTGGGTGGTGAAAACATAAAGAAACCCAGCACTTTGCGTAAAAAATGAACGTAGAGAGTAAATTCGTAAATGCATGGTTTTATAATAGAAAAAGAATGAAGGAAAAGAGGATTAGAGAAAGCAAACAAGCCCAGACCTGAAATGAAAGGTGTAAAGAAAATGGTTTACCCTTTTATTTTCTCTCCTTCCCACGTATTATTACACATTAGAATAAGTTGAGGGTAAAGCAATTCAATAAAGTGGCAGAGATGTCCTGTAACCAAACACCTGCCACCATGGCATTTGATCTAATAATAACATACTAACTAGAACTGTACCTGTTTTGGGCCCATTAATGTATAGAAAAAAGCAAATGACAAATTTATATGCAACTGAATGTAAGATTTATTAACAGTGTTTGCCTAAGGCTCTTTCTCATGACTAAGGGCTTCAGAGTCATGCGCTGCTTTGGCCTTCACAGGCAGATGGCGTCACAGAAGGGAGATTTTTATGAGGTTGCTAGGTAGCAAGTAAGTGGTAAGTGTACATATTAAACAGTGAAAGCATGTACTTGTGCTAGAACAGAAATATATTGCTGATTGCTTTGACAGACAAAAGAAGAAGGAAGAAATGAAAAAGTTAAAGAAACTCATCTCAGGATGCTTTTCGAATTAAAATTAGTCTAGCAACTAGGTCACCATGATGACATATTTTTGAAAATTCAGTATTAAATTTCAATTATAAAAAACATAATTATATCATTAAAATTAAAAACTGTGTGCAATTGAAATGTCAGTATACAACTCAGTTTTTGATTTCATTATTATATCTAAAAATAAAGAGCTATTGAATTTAAAGGTTTGACATTTGGACGTACTATACCTGATTTAAATACAAATGAATTTATATTGAATCAAATCGAGATCAGAATCGAATAAAGAGCCTGTAAAACAGCCCTAAAAAAAGAAAACAAACAAGAAAAAGTGGGAAGAAACAAAGCAAACTAGTGTGCAACTGTACATTTTACAAACATTAATAGACTTAAGGCCCAAAACATTAATAGACTTAATATTCATAGCAAAAAACGATAATTATAAAGATGATTAAAACAATATAGCATCCACACCAACAGATGAAAACATTCTGTTTATTATAAGCGCTATTTATGTTGTCTACTTTGTTTGAGTTCTTTAAAGTCTGAACACTTCTGATTGGCTGTCATTGTTTTTCTTTTTTTAGCATTCATCAACTAAAAAAAAAGAACGTTCTGAAAATGATTGCAAAAATATCGTTCCTCTGTGTCTTTACATTTACATTTATTAATTTAGCAGACGCTTTTATCCAAAGCAACTTACAAATGAGGCAATAATATGTAAGTTCTGTGACAAGTCTCGGTTAGCCTAACGCAGTACACGTAGCAAGGTTTTTTTTATAATAAATAAAAAGAAAACAAGAAGATAGAATAGAAAAAGAATAGAGAATACTAGTGTTTGAGGCTTTTTTTTAAAGAAAACAAGCAGTAAGAATAGAAATAGAATAGAGAGTGCAAGTGTTAGAGGGTCGAGTTTTTTTTTTTAGAATTAGAATAGAGAGTGCTAGAATTAGAGGGTCAAATGAAGATGGAAGAGATGTGTTTTCAGCTGTTTCTTGAAGATGGCTAAGGACTCAGCTGCTTGGATTGAGTTGGGCAGGTCATTCCACCAGGAGGGAACAGTTAATATAAAAGTCTGTGTAAGTGATTTTGTGCCTCTTTGGGATGGCACTATAATGCGATGTTCACTTGCAGAACGCAAGCTTCTAGAGGGCACATACCTCTGAAGTAGTGAGTTTAGGTTAAAGAGGTGCAGAGCCAGTGGTGATTTTGTAGGAAAAACATCAATGCCTTGAATTTTATGCGAGCAGCTATTGGTAGCCAGGTCAAATTGATGAACAGAGGTGTGACATGCGCTCTTTTCGGCTCGTTAGAGACTAATCTTGCAGCCGCATTCTGAATTAGTTGTAGAGATTTGATAGAATTGATAGAATAGCAATGGTCCAGTCTGGACAAAACAAAAGCTTGAACAAGGAGTTGTGTAGCATGTTCCGAAAGAAAGGGCAGAACAAGAGCTTGAACAAGGTGTTGTGTTGCATGTTCTGAAAGAAAGGTCCTGATCTTCCTAATGTTGTATAAAGCAAATCTGCAGGACCGGGCAGTTTTATCAATGTGGTCTGAGAAATTCAGCTGATCATCAATCACAACTCCAAGGTTTCTGGCTGTCTTTGAAGGAGTTATGGTTGATGTGCCTAGCTGGATGGTGAAATTGTGATGAAGTGATGGGATTGTTGAAACCACAAGCAGTTCTGTCTTGGCCAGGTTGAGTTGAAGGTGATGGTTCTTCATCCAGCAAAAAAATGTCTGTAAGACAAGCTGAGATGCGAGCAGCTATCGTCATATCATCAGGATGGAATAAGAGGTAGAGTTGAGTGTCATCAGCATAGCAGTGATATGGAAAGCCATGTTTCTGAATGACAGAACCTAGTGATGCCATGTAGACAGAGAAGAGAAGTGGTCCAAGAACTGAGCCCTGTAGAACTCCATTAGCTATAGATAAATCCCAATAAATCCCTTTATTGTCAGTTGTGGTGTGGTCTTTCCCATTCTCACAGAATTAAAATGATTATTTAACATTTAAAAACCTATTCAAAAAAATGTACACTCAAAATGCACCATGTCACAAAGCTCAAATCATCTCAGACTGGTTTCTTGAACATGACAGAGTTCACTTTACTCAAATGGCCTCCAGAGTCACCAGATCTCAATCCAATAGAGCACCTTTGGGATGTGGTAGAATGGGAGATTCGCATCATGGATGTGCAGCCGACAAATCTGCAGCAACTGCGTGATGCTATCATGTCAATATGGACCAAAATCTCTGAGGAATGTTTCCAACACCTTGTTGAATCTATGCCACGAAGAATTAAGGCAATTCTGAAGGCAAAAGGGGGTCCAACCCGGTACTAGCAAGGTGTACCTAATAAAGTGGCCAGTGTATATTAAAACATGATTGTATTTATTTTTTTCTTAATGTGTAAAGCTTATCAATAAGAAAAAAAATGTGTTTTCAGTGCTGCTAACCACAACATATTAGCCCTTGGAGTAAAGAAATTCAGCTTCTGCTCTGAGAGGGTGTTATTGACGTCATGAGAGATGGGAGCTATTTCTGAGCCCTGGGGACACTCTCTATCACCAGGTGTCAGCACAGTGATCCTAGCAAGAACAGTTTGGACTTGTAGAGTTGTTACACTTGAGCACATGCCTCATTGACAGCAGAGGATAACGCTTTTCTTAGACAAACTGAGGCATAATATCTACTGTTTGAGATTGTTCTTTGCAAAAACTTTTGTTAGGAAAGCAGTAGAAGTTCTGGGTGATCTTCTAGTGGATGTTAGTAGAAGACATTCCATTCTGAGTATCACTCACACAGTGAATACAGCCACCATAATGGGCTACAGGTCTTAAAGGAGTGCAGTTTACTCAAGTTCAGACAAGACCCCACAGTAAAATGGCATTACAGGAATTTTTCACAGGTGAGAGTGCTGAACCAAGCCTGCAATCAGTCATGACTAATATTTGTCAGTGGTTTTTGCAGAAATGACTCTCCTCCCCAAACTTAAGAGTCCCTGTCTCATACTAACACCGATACCCTGCTAAATAACTAAAACAAAGGCAGAAAGGCTGGCTACTACCTACATTTTGGCAAACTCCAAAAATGTACCTATACATACAATTCACTGCAGTTACCAGCTGAAATTAACACTAATGACAGTAAAGCAACAAAAATTTTATTAATTTTAACACAAATTGTGGGGCAGATTTTCTACCAATAAAGACTTATTTTCATACATTATATGTTATAACCTCAAAATACTTTTATCGTAGTGCATGTTTTGTAAACGAACACATTTTGACATCTGCATCACATAACCAGTTCTATTTGTTTGGCTTTTGTGACGTTGTAAACTTGCTCAGTAACACACCTGGTAAACCACTGAACTTGGGTACGAGTCCAGTGAAACACAAGCCCCAATTATGAGTAAATCATTTCAAAGATTTGTAGTTCCAAGCTAAAATGGCATGGTTGCTACAGCAGATGTGTTTATATCTCTCGCTTGTTTTTTGCAAGAAAAATATGCACCATTAATGAAAAATATGGATAGTATTTTTTACTTAAAGTGTACATTTCAATTACAGGTGACCTTTCTCAAATGGTACGTTCAACTTGAATTGCACAGACCAATCGGTGTATGACATCAAAACACCACAAGATTGATTCGAAAGCAAACTGAGCCATCTGCTCTCTAATCACTCTCACGGTACTTTGATGTCAAACACCAATCTGTCTGCGTGGCGCTGCTTCAAGTCGAACACACCTAATGCCTGATTACAATGCTAAATCAAGGAGCCGCACTGGATGCTGTAAGTCACATGATCCCAGTCACATGGCAAATCAAGGAGCCATATTGAAACATGTAAGTCACATAACTAAAAACATGGTAACACCTAAATATACTGTATTGTTCAAGTTAAAAAGCATTAAATAATTATAATAGCAGTGTAGCCTTACTGTTTTCTTGAGACCCACAGTAGCTGCATTTCCATTACAGATCTGCGCAAAACTTTTGCGATATTATAGATGTCGATAAAAAA